CATCCAATCCTCATAACAATCGAAGTCCGGATACCCATCATGCGACCTCATGCGCAACACCACGCACGCCGCCCTCGAACTAGCCCTATACACCGCCAAACAACCGTCTCTATACGACTACACCGCAAGCGGCTACGCCTACCTCTCCTGGCCCCTCGTCTCCAAATCCACAGCCCACAGCCTCCAATCGCTCGTCAAATCCGGGCCCCGCCTAAGCTCGCCCATCGACAAGCTAAAAGCAAGCTACCTCACCCACCCAGGCGTCCCCAACCTCGAAGTCATCTTCTCAGACGGCTACACAGGCCGCAAAGGCTACCCAGCCCCGACCTCCCCCCTCGCAGGCATAAACACCTTTTCCCTCATCGGCGTCCTCCAACACCCACTCTCCAGAGGCTCCGTCCACATCAACTCCCCAGCCCCCGCAGCCCCTCCCTCCATCAACCCAAACTACCTCTCCCACCCCTACGACCGCGCTGCTGTAACCCACATTGCCCGCTTCCTGCGCCACGTCGCTTCCACACACCCACTGCGCGGTGTCTGGGCCTCCGAGTACGAGCCCGGCAGCGCGGTGCAGACGGAGGCTGAGTGGGCGGCGTGGGCGCTGCAGAATGTGCTGAGTATCTATCATCCGGTAGGGACGTGTGCGATGATGCCGGAGGAGAAAGGGGGAGTGGTGGATTCGCGGTTGAAGGTGTATGGGACGAGTGGGTTGAGGGTGGTGGATGCGAGTGTGGTGCCGGTGTTGCCGAGTGCGCATTTGCAGACGCTGGTGTATGGGATTGCAGAGAGGGCGGCGGGGATGGTGGTGCGAGAGCATCGGGATAGGAGTTAGGGTTTATGTGTGTCTCTGGGGAAAGGGGGGGAGAGGGAAGATTATACCGACCAGATTGGAAGAAGGAAAGAAAGAAAGAAAGAAAGAAAGAAAGCAGGAATACACTCCATACAGAGGAGAAACAACCCCAATGTTTGTAATGAAGCGGCAATTTAGATTCACCATTCAACCCTTTTTAGAAGAAATTTAAACACATTTTCTACTTTACTATCCATCACACCTCTGCTCGATTCTTAAAACATGCCATTCGATTACCTTTCCACATTTCCAACCTCTTTTAAAAAAATAACCGTCCGTTTATCTTTACTCACCCACCAACTCAGCCAGAAAGATAAACACCGTCATAAACAAATAAGAGTCATACCATCCCATCTCATCCCATACCATCTCATCCCATACCATCTCATCCCATACCATCCAGACACCCACACAACCATCACACCCACAACACCCCACCTACACCGACAGATACGTACAAGCCATGCAACATGCAACGTACAACCCACCCAACCAACACAATCACAATCACAATCACAGTCAGAGAGAGATACATGATACCATATACAAGCCATATTCATGACTTTGAAAATCAAGCCTGATTTGACCAAATGCCCATCCCTAATACTTTCTGCCCAACTCTCCCTCCGTGGCCCAGGGAAAAACGCGTCGACTCCCCAACCGTCCCCTCCCTTCACACTCCCCACCACAAGAGCCCAGAACACTGACCTCGCAGACATGCTCTCTTTTCTCCTGCGTCCTATGCTCCCCACCCCCTTGAAAAATGATAATACTATACAAATGAGGATGACCACCATACAAACTTTTTCCTGCTCATCCATCCTTGCAACCTCCCCCCCTCAAATGTCGATTAAATCGCCCCAAACGCGTGGCTATATTTTCGCTTTTGGTGCCACCAGCAGGTACCGCTTCGTCAATGTACGCGTCGGCCTCGCTCGTGGAGAAAACTGTTCCGAAGAAAAAAAAAGTAAAAACACGTCAACGAAAATCTGACCCCCTTCATTCGCTGGAGTGAAAGAAAAACAGGAATAAAGGAAACACTTCTCAGCGATTTCCTAATAGTGGCTGGCTCTCTGCACCATCCTCTTTGCCACCCTTCTTCTTCTTACCTCGCTTCTTCCTCTTCTTCTTGCCACCTCCCCCCTTGTCGCCACCCACATTCGACGATTCGGCTTCGGAATGCTGCCAGTGGCACATGTCTTCTGCCCCATCCGCCCGGCCACCTGTCTGTTTGTCTTCTGAATCACTAGAACTGGTCGTCTCGAGGACAATCTTCTTGATGCCGTTCACGTCCACCACGTTCTCCGAGATACTACCACTGCGCGCGGTGTGACGTTTTGTAAGCGGACTGTGAGGCGGTGATTTGGCGGAGCGCAAGGAAGCGATGGTACTGACGGAGCGGGAGCGTTCACGAGAGTGCGAGGGTTGTGAGGAGGAGTGATGGTCAACATTGAGATGTGTGTCATCATTGTTGGCTTGCGAATCGCCTTTAGGAGATATGGGCTCGTCTTCTGCCTCTCTTAGCCCTGAACGACCAGACTTCCAGGACATGCGATCACTGTTGGGGGCCATGGTACCGTAGCCCACTGCTACACTATGTACACCATCGCTCGCCTCGCGGCCCGCGGATGAGAGAAGACCTTCTCCTACGCCACCTTGCGGTGCGTGTGAGTCGGGCGAAGATGCCGTTCCGGGAGCCGGCTGAGAATTCTCGGGTATCGTGTTGGGAATGTCGGGTGTTTGTCCACCTGGTTTGATCTTGACCGTGTTGATGCGGGTTGACTTGGGTCTATTGGCGGCATTGGAAGGCCCGAGATGGCGGAGGTGTTGCATGACTTCGGGGTCGTCGCTGCGCAGAGGTTCCATGGTGCCCTTGCTACCACTGCTACGACGACGTAACACAATGGCAGGTTTCAAAAGCGCATCCGACACCTCTGGCAAAGATGATTTGCGATTTACCGTCTTGCCATTCTGTTCCTCTGCGCCAATTTCTACCGTGACGAGCGCTGCATCCGACAGTTTTCGAACAGGGTCGGTAATGACCCTACCACGGGGAACGCGAGCGCGAGGGGCGGGTGCCATGCGGCGGATGGCCTTGTGGACATCGATGAAGACGTCGGACTCGTCAATGATTTCCCTAGTCAAGTCAGTAGCTGTTCATGTAGCGTGGCGCGATGCAACGTACTCTCCGATCAACTCCTCGATTACATCTTCCAAAGTCACAACACCGACAGCGCCACGGGCCTCGGCAGGAAACTCCGAGACAAGCACCATGTGCGACTTGCCCTCCTGGAAGAAGTTGAGAATGTCCAGACAGCTGGTCTCGGGACGGGTTTCGGGGAGAGTAGCCAGCGCAAAGTCGCGCACATGCAGGGCGTCCTCTGGGTCGTAGGTGATGAGCATCTTGACGAGCAGCATACCGACAAAGTTGTTTTTATTCTCAGGCGTGTGGATAGGGATGCGCGAGTAACCAGCCGAAAGAATATTATCCATCATCTTCTCGTCCAAGACGGTATCCGAGGACATGGTGAAGACGTCCTTCATGGGCGTCATGATGTTTCCCACTGCTTTGGCCTTGAGGTCCAGCACGGCGGTGATGATGGTGACTTCATCCTCGTTGAGGCGCTCGTGTTCGAGGCCAAGCGACTGGTGGAGGTTGACGAGGGTCTTGAGGCCAGACTTTTTGTAGACGGTGCCGTGGTCTTCGCCGAGAAGGTAGTCGAGGAGCTTGGCCGTGGGCCAGGCGGCAATGCCCATGATGTACATGAGAGCGAGGACAATGGGGGCCATGAAGGCGCCAATGGGCAGACCGTAGCGAACGCATATGGATTGGGGGACGACCTCGCCGAAGATGACTGTTCATGAGGGGTTAGCCATGGCCCTGTCACAGCAGACTGGCGGGTGCCTACCAATGAGTACCGTGGAACTAACAACGGCAGGCCAACCACCACCGAGGGACCTGTCGAGCACAATGGGGAGCGTTTCGTTGGTGATGACGTTGCTCAGGAGGAGTGTGACGAGGACCCAATGTTTGCCTCGCTGCAGCAGCTTGAGCACCTTTTTGGCATTTCTGCGCTCGTGAACGTCGCCCGAATGCGCGAGCACCTGGAGGTAGATCTCATCCTGGCCCATCAATCTAGGTAAGACCAGTTAGCCAACTGTTTGCGACACCACGTGGAGAGGGTGTCCATTAGGGCGTACGCAATGGTGAGACCAGCAAAGACACCCCCGCCCAGGACCAGCAGAATAGCAACACCCAGGTACAGCCAAAGACTCGCATCATCGGCCGACTTGGGCACGTCGTGGTCGGCAAGGGCCGTCATCATACCGCCCAAGGGCAGGGCCTTGACCATAGGCGCGCAGGCGTGAAAGAGGGCAAGGATGACGATGCGGGCAGCAGGGTGCGACGAGAAGCCATTGCGCATGGAGGAGCGAGGGGAAGAGCTCATGGCAGCGACTGCAGCCATGGGCAGAAATGGATGCGAACACGACGGCGAAGCAGGAGATTGACGAGAGAATTCTCTGCGTAGAGCCACAGGTGGGCGGGCAAGCAAGCGAGCGAGCGAGCTAGGTTCCCTTGTGGCGACCAGACTTTGTTATGTAGAGTACTGGCAATGGAGGGTTGGTGGTGGTGGAGGTGGTGTTTTGTGGTTTGCCAGGCAATCAAGGTAGGTGCTACCGGTACGGCAGGAGCGAGCGGGCTGGAGGACCGTGCATGTGATTGGGGGGCCTGGTCTCCTATAGTCTGGATCTGGTTTACAGTGTGTGCACTGAGTCCTCACTCACACACACACACACACACACACACACAAGACGAGCAAAACTTCTTCTTGATCGACATGCAGGCCCTATTGTACCAAGTATCTAGGCGCTGCATGCTAAGCAGCCGTGTAACTTGGATTACATGGGGGGTCATGTGCTCCGTCTCTGCTCATACGGCTGCGGGGGTTTTGTGCCATTTCTCTCTCATCTGTCTCGAGCGAGTCTCCCTGCCCACTAGTATGTGCCCTGGAGTAAAATACTCTACAACTGTCGCGATGCAGCGAACAACCTGGGTTAGTTCCCGCGCAGAACTGCTGAAACGCCATTCGGGCAAACAGACGAACGCCTGCTTAGCCTCACAACGTCATTGTGCGTTGCCGCGGGGGTCTTCCCGCTCCAACGAAACAACGACTGAGCCACAGACACTAGCCACGTACAGGAGGTGCACCAGCCACATCACGTGCAGCTCTCCCCCACAAGTCTTGGCAGCTTCCCCGGCTCGAGCTTCCCCTGCTCCCCCCCCCCCCCAAAGCTGGAGAGCCGCAAGTAGCCGTCACAAACAACCGTCGCCTAACAACTTCCAAACCCTCCACCCGCCCGTCTCTCTTGTCATGGCGACAATTCTGCTGGCCTTTTGCAGACACGCTGCTACCACCTCACTGACATGATCATGGCCTCGAAGGCTCCCTCAATACCCCGCGCTTTCTCGCGCTTTCTCCTCCGCCCACAATCTTCTTCCTCCCTGCATCCCCATGGCAAACATGGCGCCATCTCCAGACCCTATTCTGCCGCCGCACCAGGAGCACGTCTAAATGGATCCGTAGACTACGCCACAACCCCCCTCCTCCATCACACTGCAAAATCTTCCCTCGCAAATCCAGAGTTCTCCCAAGAGATACAAAAAGGCCAGACCAAGCGCATCAACCTCTACACAGCCGTCAACGAAGCCCTCCGTCATGCCCTCCAGGAAGACGAGCGCGTCATGGTCTTTGGCGAGGACGTACAGTTTGGCGGAGTCTTTCGATGCACCATGAACCTCTCGGCCGACTTTGGTACCGAACGTGTCTTCAACACACCACTCAGTGAGCAAGGCCTCATCGGCTTCGCAGTCGGTGCAGCAGCAGAAGGCATGAAACCCATTGCCGAGATTCAATTCGCCGACTACGTCTTCCCTGCCTTTGACCAAATACACAATGAAGTCGCAAAGTACCGATACCGTTCTGGAAGCACAGGTGTGAACGTCGGAGGTCTAGTTATCCGCATGCCATCGGGCAGTGTCGGACACGGCGCGCTGTAAACCCCCCTTTTCCTTCTCCACACCATGAACACTTCTTCACACATACTAACCTACCCCCACAGCTACCACACCCAATCCCCCGAAGCCCTCTTCACCCACACCCCCGGTCTCCGCGTCGTCATCCCCCGCTCCCCCATCCAAGCCAAAGGCCTCCTCCTCTCCGCCATCGCCTCCCCAGACCCCACCATCTTCATGGAGCCCAAAATCCTCTACCGCGCCGCCGTCGAACAAGTCCCAATAAGCCCCTACACCCTCCCCCTCGACACCGCCGAAATCCTCAAACCCGGCTCCGACCTCACCATCATCTCCTACGGCACCCCGCTCTACACCTGCAGCGCCGCCATTGCCGCCGCGGAAACTGACCTCGGTTGCCGCATCGAGCTTATCGATCTCAGAACCGTTTACCCTTGGGACCGCGACATGGTGCTTACCAGTGTCAAGAAGACGGGTCGCGCGATCGTTGTGCATGAGAGTATGATGAATGCGGGTGTGGGTGCCGAGGTCGCGGCTACTATTCAGGAACGCGCGTTTACCCGGCTCGAGGCCCCGGTCAAGAGGGTGACGGGGTGGGAAACACATACCGGGTTGATTTACGAACAGTTTATTATTCCGGATGTTGCTCGTAAGTTGGTAACCTTCTTTTCTCTTCTTTTGTTTTGCAGATTTTTTTTAAAAAAATTGTAATCGGTCTCTCTAGAGGAGGTGATAGATTGCTGATTTCACATGCACATTTTAGGAGTCTATGACGCGATTAAACAGACTTTGGAGTATTAGCAGACTTGCTTTTCTTCTTCAAATGTTAAATGAAATATACAAATGAAATATACAGATAATAAGACTTGATCTTCCTCTGCCTATATTTCTTCTTTCTTCTATTTTTATTGAACAGTGAAGCCCAATCCAGCAATCCAGCAATCCATGAACATCTTGATTCCTACACTACTCCTACAATGTCTACTCCTTTCCCATGTCCACAACCTCGCAAACTTTAGATCTATTTTGTAAGTTCGCCGTATGAGAAGGTGAGTGTGGAGTGTGTTTTTAAGGGTATTCGGAGTTTGAGGGGTGGAGGGATTGGTTGGTTTGAGCGGGGCTGGAGGGATGGATGGTGTTGGGATTTGTTTGGGTGGAGTATACCTGGTTGCTGTGGGGTTATGGGTATTGCTATAGGTATGGGTATGGTTATTACTACAACTAGAGCTTTAAATATAACCACAACTACAACTACAACTACAAATATAACTAAAACTACAAATATAACTATAACCACAACCACAACCATGACCATGACCACATCCGACACCCTCTCAAATCACAATCACACACCCCACACCCAAAACCAACCCAAAACTCCTCTTAAACTTTACCTAACCCCCGACCATTCAACCCCCCGACCCTTTAACTCCAAGTCCATGTCACACCACCCGCATCATCCCCACCCGCACCCCATGCTTCGGAGACTTCCCGGCTCGGCCCTTTACATGGACCCGTATCCCCGAGCTTGTACATATATACAACATGCAGATATACATAGGCACATGCCTACACATTCCCCAGCCCAGCCCCGAACGCCGCCGAGATGCGCCACGTGGGCTGCCGGATCGAGTGGGATGGGATTTTTGAGGCGAGGAGGGATGGGAATTGGGGTTGTGATGTTTGGGTTTTACAGATGTGGATACGGGTGAATGGGGGCCGGATATATGTTTACCCTGGCGAGTAGGGGACTGTGGGGTTGTGAGGGTGGTGGTGGTGGTGGTGGTGGTGGTGGTGGTGTGTGAGTTTGATGCGAGATGAGAGGTACCGGTACCGTAAGCTGGACAAAGCGGGTGAGCGGCCAACTACGAAACCCCTGGCGTAGATATCACTCCTCACAACACCACACAGCACACAATAAACCCCCAGACCTACCCAAGCACAAAAACCATTTGCTCTGTGGGCACGCAAACCGCCTTATCCAAGCTTATTGCGACCTTAGCCCGACGGGATGACGCACACCCGTACTAACCCGCGGCGAGACGAGCATTCTCCATGTCGTGGTCGTCAAACGCCACCGCGCTTGCTAGGGATCCGTTTTGCCGGTTAACGACTCGGGGGGTGTTTGGGCTGTATAAGTATAAAGGCGGCAGTCATGGTGCTGATCGAGTGATGTGGCTACCGTGTGTTTGTGTGGGAAAGAGTTTGTGCATTGTGAAGCTTACGGCACGGCAGGTCTTGAACGCTTTAGAGTACACTTGGTTCCTTGCAAACTCACCACGTGTGCAGATATCTGATTGCAAGTTCGCCTTCTCTAAACTGAGACCGGGGATCCTGTCTGCGACTGGGTTGGAGTTTCGAGGGAATAAAGAAACTTTGGGCGAGTTATATCCGGGTGAAGTGGACACCATTCCAAGTCTAAGCGTAACCCTAAGCCTCCGCTGAGGCAAAAGTCTGGTTGACGTCAATTGCAACACATCGAGACCCTAGCTTTTTTCTCTCTTCACTTACACATCCAGTGCCGTGGCGACATCAGCAGCTTGCGTCGACACAAGCCGCTGGAGAGGGAACGAACTCTTCTGGACGGAAATGCCTGGTACAGCGGGCCAGAACCCCCGTGGTCGTACCTGCAGCAAGTCATCACGAGAAAACACCAACGACACAGGATCAAGCCAGTTTTCAACACAAACACACAAAGAAGCAGAACGAGCCTTTGAGGAAGAAAACTCACTACCTCTTGCCTGTCCCTCACCTCCCGTAACCACGCTCAACCGCAGACCGTCCAGCAGCAATAAGAGCCTACACAGACTCCGCTCACACCACTCACGAGCTGGAGGCGATGGCTATACCTGCCTCGACGCCGAACCCACCATCCACCCCGCAAACCCAGGTCTGGGTCCCGAAGTGCCATCGTACTTGGTGAGCTGGGACAGCGAGGCCGACCTCGAGAATCCACGGCGGATGAGCAAGTTACGACGATGGGGGATTGTATTGATCTGCGCGGCAAGTTCGCTTTGCGTGTGCGTTTTTTTCCTTTTTCTTTCCTTCTTCTCCTCTGCAAAATCTGTCATTGCTGCGTTTGCTGTCTGAGGGCTGGGCGACGGGCTACCGGTATTTACACGTGACGGGTGTACTTTTGACACGACGAGCATAGTGATACACGCTAATTTCACAGGAGGGGGGGCGCAGGACATGCACGTCGTCGTTGTATACATCTACGTATGCTCAGCTGGAACCTGAGTTCCAGTCGTCGCGTCTGGTCTGCACACTCGGGCTATCCCTGTTTGTGGCGGGACTGGGCACAGGGCCCATGGTGCTGAGTCCGCTTTCTGAGGTGCGTGTTATTTTTTTTTCCTGGATGGGTGCGGTGCCCAAGCATGGTTTTTCCTTGATCTGACATTGAGACTTGGGGGATAGTTTTATGGGCGGAGGCCGATTTATATTGGCTCTTTTACGTTTTTTCTCATCTGGATGATACCGTGTGCGGTTGCTAGGAACATGCAAACCATGCTGGTGGCGAGGTTCTTGGATGGCCTGGCCGGCTCTGCTTTTCTCAGTGTGGCTGGGGGCACCGTTGGTGACTTGTTTGCTAAGCATGTCAGTCTGCCTGCAAATCCCCGCTTAGCGGCTGTCTACTCTAATGCCAATATAGGAGCTATCAGCGCCGATGATGGTGTACACAGCAAGTCCATTCGTTGGCCCCGAAGTAGGACCTCTGATAGGAGGGGTAGGTCTGGTCTTGTATCCCAATTGTGAAACAGATGCTGACATCATGTCCGCGGGCGTAGTTCATTGTTGAGCATACTACGTGGCGATGGTAAGTGCTCATTGGAAAGAAAGGGACATCAACATCAATCTACATCACACGACGGCTAGCTCAAATCCGATCAATACTACTAGCTCTGCTCCCTTTCCCCCTCCCATTCCTTCTTTCAGCTCGTATCTAATTCTGGGCCTGGAGAGGCGGTGTGCTGACGTCAAAGCAGGTGTTTCTACGTGCTCATCATTTGGTCTGGAGTGCAGGTACGTCGTGACGCACAACGCACGTTTATGCGCCCGTGACTGATGCCATGCCCATGGGTTTCAGCTTGCCTTGATCGTCTTTCTAGTTCCTGAAACGTACCATCCAGTCCTGCTGCGCAGGAAAGCGATTCGCCTGCGCAGAGAGACGGGCAATCAGGAATGGATAGCGCCGATTGAGAAGCTAGAACGATCGGTGACCAAGACGGTGCTCTGGTCATGCATCCGACCGTTCCAATTGCTCTTCTTCGAGCCCATGGTGGGTTTCTCTCTGCAACCATTGGACATGCCCATTGATAGGCTTGGCTGACGAATGGGTGGCCAGTGTTTGAATCTGTGCATTCTTTCGGCCATCTTACTGGGCATTCTGTACCTCTTCTTTGGCGCTTTCCCCCTAGTCTTCCAGAACAACCACGGGTTCAGCGTGTCGCAGACGGGCCTTGCATTTTTGGGCATCTTCGTCGGCATGATTGCCGGCATCTCCACCGACCCCATCTGGAGGAAGATCTATGGAAGGCTAGTCAGACAAGGTGAAGAGCAAGGGGGCGAGCCCGGTGGTTCGGAGCCAGAATTTCGGCTTCCTTCGACGATGGTGGGCGCGTGGGTGGTGCCGATTGCGCTTTTTGGTAAGCGGTCGCAGGTACATGAGAATTTTGGACAAGCTTCTAATGGTACATGCAGGGTTTGGATGGACCACGTACTCGTCTGTAAGTGAAGTAGTGAGGCTAGAGTACTCTACTCCAGGGAGATTGCTACTGGATTGACCAAGGCTAATGCGGGCGGCCTCTGCAGGTTCACTGGATAGGTAGGACAGAAATCCTGCAGGCCGTTCATCGTCATTCTAACCAGTGATCTCTCTCTCTGCAGTTCCCATCCTCTTCTCTGGGCTCTTTGGGATTGGGTAAGAAGATCTACACTGCGCACTGGACGTGTCATGGATAGTTGGATAGCTGACCGCTCTCTCCTGTAGCGTCATCTGGGTCTATTCAGGGGTGTTTACCTTTCTGGTCGAGGCAGTGAGTACGACCCTGTACCGACATCGGACCAGGGTGATGTGTTTATGTAGATGGACTGCTGACCTCGGCGAGCAGTACCCTGTCTACGCTGCATCGGCACTCGCAGCCAACAGCTTTGCGCGGTCGTGCTTTGCAGCGGTGGGGAAATCCATGTGCCTTTGTGTGCAAAAAAAAGTGCGTGTGAGACAAGACGACTGATTGTGTGCGTGTAGGCGTTTCCCTTGTTTGGTGTTCAAATGTACAACCGTAAGTCTTTGCTCGATGACGACTTTGCCTGGTTGAAAGAGCGGTCACTGATTTGGACAAGATCTCGGTTACCCGTGGGCGACGACAGTGTTGGCATTCCTAGCTCTGGCCATGGCCCCGTAAGAAGCATTCCAGCACTATGGTTACGGGACTCTGCTAATGCATGGTCTGCCAGCTTCCCAATCTTCTTATTTCGATGTGGCAAGCGGCTCAGGGGCGACAGCCGTTTTGCATCAGCTTAGACGGACGGGCGCATCGCTTTACGAGGGCAAGTGTATGTCTATGTGTGCGCGTGTGTATGAGTGCGTGCGCTTGTGCGTCTGGGCATAGTAAGTGAGAGTGTGTGTGGGGGGGGTGAAGTGAACAAGCATGGCAGTCGGCTAAGAATAGAGGCCGTCACACGACAGCAACATGGCATGAAATCTGTTTATTGAACCAAGGATTCTGCGCCCACACGTGAGACGACCTGAAGCAAGCTGGGATCGGTTGGGCCCTTTTTGTACCACGCAACACACACAAGCCCAGCGCCACGAGGGCGGCCAGGCCAGCTGGAGGGAAAATAAATGGATTTCACACAGGAAAGACGTGGAGGGCGAGCGGTCACAGAAGAGGGGGTGGGTTTTTCCTTGTATCGTTGGGGAGGGAGGGACAATGTGTACCCGCGCGCGCTTTGTTTGTGAGAGGAGGAAACGTGGTTTGAGCATTCCTGGGGACAAGACATTTTTGGAAGGGGGGGGGGGGGGGGGACACGAGACAAGCGCCGTAAAGATTTTTATTTGTGGATTTGTTATTGTGGAGGGTATGCTATGCCGTGGTAGAGTATGCCATCTACTCCAGACGGACTCGAGATGAGGGTGTTGCAATGGCAGATGGCGGATTGAAAAGGCAATAGTCCGGTTCCCCAGCCCCCCCCCCCAAAAATGACCAGTGGCCCAGTGAGGGGGGGCCAGGGGGCCAACCCCCAACCAAAACCTCAAGTAAGCCAAAACCCCCAGGGATTTTTTTTTTCCAACCCATCCCAAAACTTTTTTCTTATTTTATTTTACCCGGGGATTGGTTCGTTGATCCACTTCCCCATGTTCGCCGGGCCCCTTCCAGGGGGGGGGGGGGGGGGTGGGTATGCGTGCGTGCGTGAGTGCGTGAGTGCGTGTGCATGTGTGTTTTCTTTTTGGGCGCACGCGGTGTGGCGTGAAGGGTAGTGTAGTTTGCAGGAGGAAATTTGGGGACAGAGAGGAGGGGGAGAAGTGTGCAATTAGCCCCAA